CTGCTTCTCCCTCTCCCACTCCCCCTGCTTGTGTTCCCTCTCTCGCTGTGTCTCTCTCTATCAAATAAATAAATATTTTTAAAAAAAGGATAACTAATAACTTGACATTTTCCAGAGGTTAGTCTTTGCATCTCTAAGCGAGGGTGTGTATGGCCCACATGACTGACTCATAAACCTCACTGTGGCCCTTGGAGAAATACTAGTGGGAAATGCTGGGTAGAAGAAGCTGGAAAATAGGAGTGGGAAGAGAAAAGAATGTCCGAGAACACCTACTTCCACCAGATGGCTCCCTCACCCACTCTTACACAAACCTTGGGAGAGCCGCCTTTCAACTTGGAGTTTCTTGTCTTGTGGTCTCTCCTGACACCATTTCCACCACATACCAGATTTGTCATGCTTCGAGGTGTATTCATTATTTCTTTCTGTGTAACAAATTATTTCAAAACTTACTGGATTAAAACAATAATAAATTTATATTTTCTCACATTGGTTTTTGGCTTGGGTGGTTTCGGACAGGAAATGGAGAGCAGCTTCGTGGGCGGTTTTGGCTCCAACTTTCATGAGATTGCAGTCAGCTATTGGCCACGGCTGCCATCATCTGAAGGTTTAATGGGGCTGGAGGATTGGCTTCCACAGTGGCTTCCTCACACAGCAGACAAATCGGATGCTGGTATTCTTATGCTGATAGGCTGGAAGGAGGTTTCCGTTCCTCACTTGGCACTCACCAGAAGACACTTTGAGTGTCCTCCTGACATGGTGTCTGACTTCCTACAGAGCAAGAAATCCAAGAGGGAGGCACAAGATCTTCTACGATATAGCCTCAGAAGTCACACACCATCATTTTCACAATATCCTATTGTCTTTACAGGTCAGAACTATTAAATGTCCCAAAGCATAATGGGAAGCTTATACAAGAGCATGACTACCAGGGGGTAATCATTGGGGCCAACCTGGAGGCCATCTTGGAGGCTAGCTACTAAGTGCTGCTCTGTGGGCTTAGAATACCCTTCCTCCTCCACCTGACCTCTTCCCACACACCTTTCAACATCCAGCTTGAATGTCAAGTCCTTTGTGAAGCTTTCCCCAAATAATTCCTCATTTCTTCCTCTGTGTTTACACAAAACTCTGATCCTATTAAGCATCTATTACCTTGCATTTCAACCTATCTCTAGAATCTCCCTTTGTTCCTGAGAGCAGGAGACTACAACTTAACAATCTTGGCAGAGCCCCAGTTTCTGCCAAGTATAGAGCTTTGGCATAGTAAATATTCAATGAATGTTTATTTTAAAACAAATGAATAAGTTTATAGCAGCAATGTCCACAATAGCCAAACTATGGAAAGAGCCAAGATGTCCATCAACAGACGAATGGATAAAGAAGATGTGGTATATACATACAATGGAATATTATGCAGCCATCAAAAAAATGAAATCTTGCATTTGCAATGGCGTGGATGAAACTAGAGGGTATTATGCTAAGTGAAATAAGTCAATCAGAGAAAGACATGTATCATATGA